AGTGCTTTACATGGTCTGGCTTGCACTTCTCCAGATGCATCTTGTACCTCACTGAGTCCTCTTTCTGCTCCTTCCCTCCATGCCAGTCACACTGGCGACATTTCAATTTCTCAAATGAACCATTCTCTCTTCAGCCATTGGGCTTTGCCTCGACCCTCTGCCAGGGAGTTTCTTCCCCCACCTCTTGTAGCATTCCTAGAGTAAGTGTGATTTTAAAATAATAACCACCTATCTAGACTCTAGATTAAAATCTGTGACCTAAAAAAAGTTTAATGCATTATGATGGTTGAAAAAGGGGACACTCTTTATCTGTGACAGCACAGATAAAGATTAGTGATGACCAACAAGGTAAAAAGACAAAGGACGATGTGTTAATAGAGTCACAAAACCTAGGTTCTAGATCCTATTCTGCTACTCACCATCCACAGAATTTGTTTTCTATTTATACACAATGTTTTGGGGGGGGTGTACAATTGTATCAGTTTAACATATGCAACTACCACCACAACCAGACACAAACAGTTTGTCACCCCCAAAGGTTCTCCGGTGTTGCCCCTTTGAAGCCAAACACCTCTCCGCTGATCCATTCTGTAACCTGTAGTTTTGCCTTTTCCTTCATCTATACTTAATCTCTGAGTTTTATTTCTACACCCATACAATTATTTCTATTTCTATTTATGTAAACATATATTATCTGTATATATAGATATGCCATCTTCTTTATATTATAATTTTTAATTATAGTCACATATATTTATATAAAGATATACCATCTTTATATTAAAATATTCATTTTTATGATAATCATTTGTCTGCTGTGGCTAAAAATCCTGATGTAAGACAAGTATCTCTTCTATGGCTTATATTTAGACAAAGCTTTCTTTAAGTTTGTGGCTAATGACCAATTTTTACAATTCTGCATCTTAAAATGTCAGCCTTCTCCACAAGGGTGGCTCCACCTTGAATTTCTGCATGCTACGTTGTCAGTAGGCCTGTGATTCTGTGCACGCCTACAAAGCTCTGAGCTCCAGAGCAGTCCTTAACCTCTCCTTGTGGTTGTCTGTCCTCCTTTTACCACACCACAGAAGGCGGAGAGCTGACTGCAGTTTTCATTTCAACAGTCTTTGCTAAAGAGGAATGGGCGGCGGGGGGCGGGGGGACGGCGCATCCTAGCTTGTTCTAGTACCATGCTATTTACAAACATAGCTTGTCACTGGATGTCTGAAGGCAATACTGATGGAACTATTAAGTAAACAAGTCAGCTAGAGTAGAGTCAAGCCTCACTCCCACCTAGATAGATGAAGCTCACTGCCGTGGCTCATAGGGTTGCTACACCAGTAAATCACAAGAATTCTATACATAGCCTTATATAAATTTTAAAAAGTGCATCTGACAAAATCATCTATAATTCTCTTATAATATAACAAATCAGATATAACTGCAGTTGTTTGACTAACTGGATCTAAAAGTATTAATTAAGTAATTAATTAAGATCTCCCTAAAATTAAATGACCTCTCCCTAAAACCAAGATACTACATGGGTCTCAACTTGGTTCTCCTTTATTTATACATTTTAATTAATGAATGGCTAAAGGTATAGAAATATGATTACCAGGTTTATAAATGTCATAGCAGAAATAGCTAAAAATAATTTGTTAAAATCATATTTCAAAAAGATATCAACATAAATCAATTCAATGGAACAAGGTAGACCAACTAATACACTAAAATGTAATAGGAAGAAAAATCAACTACACAAAAAATGAGAGAGACCTAGTCTCGCAGCAGTTAAAATAGTAAAATATGGGTGAATTAGGCAATTACAAATTCAGTTATGTCATCGGTGTGACATGCTTATGTAAAACAAAACAACAGATTTCTATGTTGCTCTTTTCAGTTTCACGGATAAACTCCATGTTACCGATTCTAATTCAATTCTCCACCTCATTTTCAGCTCCTAGCAGCATGTTAACAAAGACAATCAGCCCTCTTTTTGTACCACTTTCCCTTTCCTGGCTTTACATTCTCTTGGTTCTCTTCCTACCTCAGTAACTGCCTTTTCCAGCTTCCTTTAGGTGTCTCCCAAATTTCTAATTTCAGTCCGTACCTTGTCACTGAAATCCAAACACTTACATGCATCTGCCTGGCCATTATAGAAACCCCTACTTTCACCTCCCAACCTAAATCTACTTCTCCTGTAGCCTTCATCATCTCTATCCTTCCAACTGTGCAGCCCAAAGCCTTCAGTCCTATCCCTCCCCACCCCTCCCCCCATACCCTACATTTATTCCATCAGTAAATCCTTTTGGCTCTGTCTACAAAATATATCCATAATCTGACTGCTCTAACCACATTCTCTGCTCCATCAGCTCCCCTCAGGATGGCTGCACTCATCTCCTAAGCAGTCTCCTTACTTCCAACCTTGAAACCTCAACCCCACAGTCTATTCTCAATGCTGTAGCAAGAGAAATCCTTAGAAAATATGCATTTTTCAACACTCATTCAAAGACTATTTACTGAAATCCATCTTGTGAAATCCACTGTTGTAGGTGCTTAGAATATATCTGTGAATAGAAGAAATAAAACTCACTGCCCTCACATAGCTTTTGTGTCCTGGAAAGGAACAAAAAATAAACTATAAATATAATCAACAAATAAATTATATGCTGGGTTTCCATAAGTGCCACAGGAAAAAAAAATAGAGCAAATAAGGAAAGCAGTACCAAAAAACAGGGAAGGGTTATAGATTCAAACAAGGGGTAAGTCAAGGCTTCATTGCCAAAGTAACTTTTCAGGAAAGACCTGACGGAAGTAAGGACTCAGCCTTGCAGATATCTAGTGGAAGGCCATGCCAGGCAAAAGATGTTAACAATAAGAATGCATAAAATACCATTTTAGACTGACTGTCAGGTGACCACATGATGACCTGAATAATACAAGATTTTAAACTTATTTTTGTGTAAATATTACTTGTATTTTACTTTTTTCATTGTATTTTCCATTACAGTTTATCCCCTTCATATCCCCGCCCCCAGCAACCACCACACTGTTGTCCATATCCCTGAGTCCTTTTTCCTTTTTGCTCCATCCCTCCACCCCTAACCGCCCCACCTCCAGCTGTCATCCTGCTCTCCATCTATGAGTCTGTCCCCATTTTCCTTTTTAGTACAGTTTTCTCATTAGATTCCACGTATGATTGAAATCATATGGTGCTGCCTTTCTCTGACTGGCTTATTTCACTTAGCTTAATGTTCTCCAGGTCCATCCATACTGCCACAAAGGGTAAAACTTTCTTCTTTTTTATAGCCAAGTAGTATTCCACTGTGTAAATGTCTCATACTTGCTTCATCTAGTCATCTATTGATGGACACTTAGGCTACTTCTATCTTGGCAATTATAAATAACACTGCAATGAACATAGGAGTGCTTATGTTCTTTAGAATTAATGTTTTAGGTTTCTTCATATATATTCCCAGAAGTGGGACAGCTGGGTCAAAAGGCAGATACATTTTTAATTTTTTGAGGTATCTCCATTCTGCTTTCCACAGTGGCTGCACCAGTCTGCATCCCACCAACGGTGCAAAAGGATTCCCTTTTCTCCACATCCTCGTCAGCACTTGCTGTTTGTTGATTTATTGACGGTGGCCATTCTGAGAGATCTGAGATGGTATCTCACTGTGGTTTTAATTTGCATTTCTTTTATGATTAGTGATACTGAACATCTTTTCATAGGACTCTTGACAATCTATATGTCCTCTTTGGAGAAGTGTCTATTCAGGTCCTTTGCCCATTTTTAATTGGATTGTTTGTTTTTTTCTGATGTTGAGTTGTATAAGTTTTTATAAATATGGATATTAACTCCCTGTCAGATGTATTGAAAAATATGTTCTCCCATTCTGTGGGTTGTCTTTTCATTGTGTTGATGGTTTCTTTTGCTGTGCAAAAAGTTTTTAGTTTGAAGTAGTTTCAGTTGTTTCTTTGTTCTTTTATCTCCCCTGCCTGAGGAGATATATCAGAAAAAATATTGCTGCAAGCAATGTCCAAGATTTTACTGCCTGTGTTTTCCTCTAGGACTTTTATGGTTTTGGGTCTAACATTTAAGTGTTTCATCCATTTTGAACTTATTCTTGTGTGTGGTATAAGAAGGTGGTCTAGTTTCATTTTTCTGCATGTATCTGTCCAATTTTCCCAACACCATTTATTGAGTAAACTATCTTTTGCCCATTGTGTGTGCTTGCTTTCTCTGTCAAATATTAATTGACTATGAAAGTATGGGTTTATTTCTGGGCTTTCAATTCTGTGTCATTGATCTATGTGTCTGTTTTTATGTCAGTACCATGCTGTTTTGATTATTATGGCCTTCTAGTATAGTTTTATATTAGGTAGTATGATTCTTCCAACTTTGTTCTTCTCAAGATCACTGTTGCTATGTGGGGTCTTTTGTGGGTCCATATAAATTTTTGAAATATTTGGTCTAGTTCTATGAAATACATCATTGGTATCTTGACAGAAAGATTTTAAACTTATTTTTAAAAAATATCACTTGTATTTTACTTCTTATATAATGTCCTAATAAAACCACAAGTGCCTTTTAGAAATAATTAACAAAGTATTAGAAACTACTTGAGCAAGTGAGCTTTAAGCCTTTTTTCTAAAATGTAGTTAGGAGTTTTGCCTTCCATTTCACTGAGTTTCTTTAATGGCTCATAAAAAACAGTTAGGAAGGCCTGCGTTTTTTGCTATACAGGTAGAACTAATACTCAGAAAAAGAACAAGTGCATCAAACACAGCAGATCACCTAGATCTAGCTTGCAAGGAATACAAATATTTTTCAAATACAAATACTGACTGGTTTATCAAATTAAGTCAATTATAAAACTAATGGTAAGCAAAGCCATCAGATGTATTTACACAATAAGACAAGTACAAAGTTATGGACTTTTAAAAGTTTGTTAGTTCCCACCTAATTGGATGAGATTAGCACAATGGTTTGTTTTTACCTTCCGGTGGCCTATTGGATGTTGCCACAACGACGACCCCATTTTTGAACAGATTTTCAAAAAGCTGTTTCAGAATCATGGCATCAGCAATGTCAGTGACCTACGGATAACAACACATTTGTTTTATTTTAATTTCACTTCTGTTCTAACAAATTTGCTAATGGCTCTTCTTTTTTTTTTTTAAGAATGAAAGTGAATTCCAAGAGAAAAATTCTAATTATCATCATGAACAAAAGAGCAGATAATTAAAAGCGTAAAAAACTGTATAGTAGTTTTTTAAACTTTACTCTGCTTTTTTGCAAGCCTATCATTTCTACGCAAATTATCAAATGGTTCTTTATGAACTTCTTTTATAAACTACAGGTGGAAAGCATACGTAATTGTCCTAAACATTTACGGAAGTCTAATTAATTAGAACACGACCAACTCCCTCCTCCTACTGCCATCACAGCCCCCACCTCCTCCAAAAAAAAGAGACAGAAAATACACAGACTGTAAGAGATGTGTAATACCTTTCTGGCGAAGGTTTCTCAAAAGGTGACTTTAAATGGTCATGGAACTTTTGAAATAAGGACAAGTAGCCAGTGAGACATAATCAGCTGCTGTTGAAAATAGAATGATATGACATAGATACTATTGTGCAATTGTTGCACAAAACAATTCAACAGATGGCCCATCACAAAAATAAGCAATTTCATTGTTCTTTTTAAGTGCCTTCTATTACTGTCCATGAATAATTAAAAGGCACTGCAGTCACTTCCAGCACAGCCAGCCTCTCCTAACCTTTGTAAACACAAATATTCCTTCCACAAAAAAATAAAAATAAATAAAAAATAACAACTTAGAAGAACGGTTAACACAGTACTCTAAAAAAACAACTTCTAGCCCTAGCCTGGGTAGTTCAGTTGGTTAGAGCATTAGATACCATCCCAAGGTTGCAGGTTTGATCCCGGTCAGGGCACATACAAGAATCAACCAATGAATGCATAAATAACTAGAACAACTATCTCTCTTTCTCCTCTCTCACTCCTTCCCTCCCTCTGTCCCTCTCTAAAATCAATAAACAAAATTTTTTTAAAATCTTTTGACAAAATGAGAAATGCAGATACAACCATTTAAGTATAGAGATACATAACTATTGATCTTTTCTAAAATTATTTTTAAATGCACAATTAACAAATAAACTATATGATGACTTTCAAAAATCACAAAGAAATACAGAAATTAAGGAGGGAAGTAAGTTGAAAAATAAGCGTATAGCGAAGACTGAATTAATCATCATACCCTCCGTTATGAATATAACATGGGTTTTAGATATTCTCAATGTAGAAATGTTTTGATCTTTCTTTAATAACACATTTTAGATTTTAGTAATCTCAATATATAACACATTTTAAATAATCTCAATATATTCATAAAATATGTCACACAATATATATCACATTGTTATTTTTAAATCAAGTTAGAGTACATAGAAACTAGTGGAATTCTTTCAAATTAGATCAAAATACTGTAAGTTACCAACTAACTGGTTCTAACACGACTAACAACAACGACCTGAATTGGACGGGTCTCAGTCACTTTCTCTTTATAGCTGACATCTAACTCAAAAGTTTAATTATTGCCTTTCCATTTGAATAAAACAAAACATGACCAGGGTAGAGGAATATGCAGATCATTTTTTTCTGTCTCAAGCTATAACTTTAAAACATAAACTAAAAACCTACTGAAGGTTCTTATATTAAAAAGACTTTAGGAACTTACAAAGTAGTGATTAAAGTGAAAAGGAAATTAGTACTGATATTAATTAATTTGGAGCTTAGGATCACTGTCAAATTTTGCTTCCGCAAAAAAACACTCACAGAGAAGGCCCTTTTCAAATGCCTAAACACCAGCGGAATTTCTGATGAGAGGACAGAACAAGCTTGCAAATTTTAGAAGCAACTGCACTTTTAAATTGAATTCTCAATACGCCGACTTTTATAAAGAATGATATCATTTAAAATTCACCGAATTTTAGAGACTAAAAATGGTCATTTATTTCACTGATGTTTTTGAAAAAATTTAAAATAAGCAACTTGTGCCCTAAAATTTAGAAAATTAAAGGCACATTTAGCATATAACACAGTGCAAAGGTTTAAAGAGAAAGTTGGAGAAAGCAAATAATAAAGACTTGTGGTTAAATTATCATTTGTTGTTTCTGCAGAGTGCTTTTGCTCTGTAAGAGTAAATTAACTCGGAGAAGCTGTGGCTAATTAATAAAGCAGGAGTCACTTGGTGTAGCGGGTGCCAATGTATACTCTTTTGATCTTGTCCCCGCACTTGTTCAGCTTTGCAGGGGAACAGTAATTTTACAGTATAAGTGAACAGAAGACAACTGGCCGCAGATTCTTGAAGAGCGGGCTTTTTCAGTACCCAGCATTTCATTACCACCAGGAACAAAAGAGAAGGCTACAGATTACCAATAAGGGTAGTCTGCTAATACAGAGCGTGGAGACATTTCATTAGCATTAAAGAGAAAAGATTTTTTATGACCTAGAGTTGCTTTCCATTATGACTCACTTAAGTAAAAAGAGAAAAAAAAATCTAATGGTTAATTTACATGTGTAAGTGCTTGAGTCTCAGTCATTCCACTGATTGGTACAGTGCCATGTAATGAGTGACAAACATAAGCATGCATTATCAGTAATTAGTATTAGCACAAAAATAAGCACCTGTTTTTATTAGCAGTTTTTAATAGCTTTCCTGTTTTATAAAAATGGGCAAAACTATTTTTTAAATGATATTGATAGCTTACAGAGGAGAATTTTGCATGATATTCTGCTCATCAGAAACCCTTTCTTTTTAAATCATATTAGTAAAACATCTATCCAGTGTCCCTAAAAAAGAGACAGGAAGAAATAACATTTAAAAAAATAGCTTTCCTTTAGTATTCTGATATCTTCAGAATCATTTTTTTAAAACAGTTTCATAAGAGATATAAACATTCAAGGAGGGCATAAAGAAGACCCTAAAGAAAACATTAGAGAAAACCTGTCCTTATTATTTCAGCAACTAAAACACATAAAAACAACCTATCTAGACAAATTCTCAAACAAAATAATATACCTAATACCACAGGTAAAACTGAAATACTACACTAAATGAAGACAACCAAGCTAATGAGGAATATGATTTGCAGATACAATCTGAATGCTACCAAAACATAGTCTTAAAAATACCTTAAGTTCAAGAGCATAAGAAAAGACACAATAGGCCCCGGCGAGCTGGCTCAGTTGGTTAGAGTTTGTCCCAATACAACAAGGTTGTGAGTTCAATCCCCAGTCAGGGCACATACAAGAAGTCACGAATGAATGCATAAATAAATGGAACAATAAGGCAATGTTTCTCTCTTGCTCTTGTGGGTGCTCTCTTCTCTCTCTCTCTCTCAGTAACACCATCTAAAGACTGATAATAACAAGTTAAAAATCAAGATTACTAATAGGATTCAATTTTAAAAGTGAAGTGGTGATTGTAGATATACTGTCATTAAGATTAAAGTGCCTACAAAATTCTTTTCTAGTAAGTCAATAATTATACTAGGTTACACTAATGACACTAATTACAATAGGTTTAATAGGCTTAAAAATAATTTTTAGGTTCTATCATTAAAAACATCTACTAAAAGTCCACCGAGTCCAGATCTGTATATTTCAAAACATAATAGGAGATATCATATACCAAGGAGAACATATAACACAGCTGTTAGGACTAGTGAATAAGAACACTGATAATAGATTCCAAAGTTATTAGCTGAGTAACCTTGGACAAGTCACTTAATCTCCCTGACCCTTAATTTCCGCATCAATATATGAATGCAGTACTTAGAAAATTGTTATGATAAATATATAGTAAATCCTCAAGATATGTTAACTATAATTATTACCTATGTATAGTATGTATGTTAGTACAATGCCATAGTATTTATATCGAGTTATACAGAATTTTAGCCATAGATATAATGATATAGAGTATAATAAAGTAGTTAAGAACATAGGCACATAGGAAGTACTAAGTACATAGTAGCTAATATTACACAATACACATAATAAAATGTAAGCACTCTAGTAAATAAATGGGCATTGCCTCAAACAGGTTATAAAAGATGGCTTTTAGGTAGTAAGTAAACAAACATAGAAAAAATTCAACCATTATTACTTAAAGGAATACACATTAAGACAATGAGATACCTGCTAAATTAGACAAAAGAGTTAAGATAATTCAGAATGTTGATGGGAAAAAGTGTGGGTTGTTGCTATATATGAGGGAAGGGGGATTTAGTTGGAGGGCCACTTCAGTAGTTATCCTCTGGCACTGGGACTCATCTGTTCATTTCTTCATTCACTCAATATTGTCATTCACTCATTCTCAAACACTCTTCTAGACATTCGAGATACATCAGTTAGCAACATAAAGATTCCTGCCTTCAAGTTTACATTCTTATGGAGAAAAATATATAATGAACAATAAACATAATGGGTAAATATACATGGGTAATGTTAGAAGGAGATATATGTCACCAAAAAAAGAGGGTAAAGGGCATCGATAGTGTGGAAGTGAATGGAAAACTGCAGTCTCAAATGGTGTAAGGATAAGCCTTGTTAAGGGGCTAAAAATCTAAAGAAGTGAGAGTTATACTGATGGGTATGAATACTGTTCTATGCTCAAAGAATGTCCAGTGCAAAGACTCTGCATGTTTATTCTAAATTGTGTGGATATTGTGTATTGGAGTGCTGGTGCAGCAATATCTGGGGTATCCTTTTACCCTCTTGGTTTTTAGAAAAGGGATACAGAAGATATCTGAACTTCTAATAATCCAGTTTTGATGTGCTGGAGTTGCTTCTCAAAGACCAGCAGAAAACCATCCAGGATATCGAACCTAGGAAACCCAGGCTCTGCCTGCTCAGTGATCACATCAATCCTTAGAGGACACACTCTGGCCCATATACTCTCACTTTCTCTGGCACTTTTCACCAATGGATATGTGCGGATATTGGCCTTTTCTTGCATGCAATGATAAATTCCAAAACTCAAGTTTGGAATTGTAGAGGAAATAAAAGC